ATTTAAGAAATATTGTGTTAGGTAGTTAATTGTTTGATTAATGGATGTAATAAAATGTTATATTAAATATTTTTTATTTGATAAAATGTTAAATTAAAAGTTAAAATATTTTTTATTTTAAAATTTAAATATTGAACTTTTTATTTACTTATGTTATTTAAAAAATAATAATAATTGTATTTATTGTAAATCAATACATGCATTTAGATCAAACAAATATATAATTTAATAACTTAAACATAATTTATACAATAAAAAATGTAATAAAAAAAATTATATAAACAATACATAAAATTTTTCGAATTTGGTTGTTATTAGAGATAGTTCCTTATGACATATCAAATTTAATACCACATCGCATACGTACGATACAAAATTTTTAGTATGATATTTTACCGTACCGTACAAATATTTTGGTATACCGAATTTGCGAATAAAAAATACTGAATTACGGAAATAACATGCATACTCGTAAAAAAAAATATCGAAAATATTTCAAAATTTTGATACAATATGACTTTTTTTGTATGATAACATCTACAATAAGATATTTTCAGTGTATATAGATTATTAAAAAAATTGGTATATTTGTATATACTGATTATTTGATACTATATCGATATCTTTTTTTTAATAATTAAAAATTTTGGTACGGTATACAATATATTTTGATATTTTCGATATACTATCTCAAACCATCTCTAACTGAATTGTATACACGGTATTAGAATATAATATTTTACATCAAATACCGAAATAAAAAATAAGTTTATAATTTTGCTTTATAAATAAGTTATATTTTTATTTTTTTTTTGAACAAAGAAAAAAAAATCAATATCAAATTTCATTTTTAATTAATTTTTCAGCCATAAATTTCCAAATCAAATATCAAATTTTATTTTTAATTAATTTTTCAGCCATAAATTTCCAAATCAAACATCAAATTTTTATTATATATTACATTAAAATTTAATTTAAAATTAAATGAATATTGATTTATATAATATTAAATATTTATTATTTTTATTATTCAAAATTTTAATTCAACTTCTAAATTTACAATTAACAAATAATAAAACTAAAGATATTAGTAAGTTAATATAATATAGTTGATGTATTTTTTCAACAATAAAAAGTAAGATCCGAAAATAGGAAAATATCTTCGAATTTGACATAATTAGTGCCCGAGATTAAGAATCTCTAAACACTGTAGAATACATAAATAAAATAGGAAAATAAAAAACACAGACTGGAAAATAAAGTGGTGATCCCCAAAAACAATTCTCTTGAATTTGATGTCGATTGAAGATGGTTTTTTAGGTTTGTTCGGTTTGAACCGCCATCTGGTCGGTTACAGTAACTGCTGTCAACCGCCCAGAAAGTTCTCTTATGTCGACACGTGTGTTAACCGACCCACTCAGTCGAGCCTTCAAAACCGCTCACCAGTTGAAACTTCCCTCCACTATCAGAAACTGCTCTCTCGCCCGACCTGCACATCTGCTGCTTATTTACCCGACCTGTTCATGTCCGACCTCAGTGCCCGACCTTATTACGCCCGACCTTATCCTGCCTTGTCTCCATACCAGGCCTTATCATGCCCGACCTTCGAACTCGGCCTGATTACGCCCGACCTCGGTGTCCGTCCTTATCGCACCCGACCTTTAATCCCGACCTCATACCGTCTTACCTCTATGTCCGACCTTATTACGCCCAACCTTTGAGCTTGACCCGACCACGTCCGACCTTATTGTCCGACCTTACTCCATCTCACTTCTGCACCCGACCTTGTTACACCCGAACTCCGTGTCCGACCTGATCACATCCAATCCTTGCATCCGACCTTGTTACACCTGAACTCTGTGCCCGACTTGATCGCACCCGATCTTTCCACTAAACCTTGTTACACCTGAGCTCCGTACCCGACCTGATTACACCCGATCTTTGCACCCGATCTGATACGAACGCAACCAAAGGATTCGGAAACTCGCAAACCACATAAAATAAAGAAATAGAAAGATGCGAAATTTGGTGGAAGAAAGAGAGATAAATAGGATATAGATAGAAGGATACTTTGGTTTCTTAATTCACAAGATTGATCGGATAGACACCACGTGAGAACTTAGCAACACGCAACACAAAATCTCTAAACCAACAAGGAATAAAGAAGGATAATCTGGATTCTCGATCCACATGGTTGGTCGGATCAGCACCACGTGAGAACTAGGCAGCACGCAACACAAGATCTCTAAACCAATCAAGGAATGGAGTTGACGCAACAAGCGGTCCAGCACCGATTGAGAGGCGATGAATTGTCTCGAATCACTCGAAAACAACCCGATTTTGAAAGATTACCGAGGATTGCATCGCACAATCTCGAATAATCAAGCAAGCAAGAATCACTCTTGAAAGCAAAGAAATTTTATAAGAAATATCATGGTTGAGTTTATTATCCTTACAATGATAATTATGGGACCTTTTATAGAGGAACCATGTAAAATTAAAACAAGAAAGTACACTCTTAAAGGAAATAAAATCATATAGGGGATATTTATTATAATCAACCTTATTTGGTATTATTGACCCATAATTCATGGCGATCTCATGATTATTAGTAATCCCTTGATCTGTGGAATTCCTTTATTTAGGGGATATTGATTCACGGGATCCCTTCAATTAGGCATAGTAATTTAGGGGAGGTCCAATGCCTTGTAAAGTGTTCATGGCCTTATGGTCCTTGGGACTTGTGGTCCAATTCCATCATGATGGTCAAATCATCTCCTCCCTCTTCAAAAGGTTGTTCCATCAACCATTCATTTCAAAATATTCTCATGCCAAATTTTTTTGTTAACTTTTTTTTTCTTCTTTTTTTTTTTCTTTCGGATTTTTTTTTCTTTTTTTTTCGGATTTTTTTTTTGCCCTTTTTTTTGCCCTTTTTTTTGTTTTTTTTTTTTCAAATAGGAATCGTGATATCAATCAAGAGATTGTATCAACTAGCTCTGATACCAGATGATGTGACCATCATGACGGAATTGAACCACAAGTCCCAAGGACCATAAGGCCATGAGCACTTTACAAGGCATTGGACCTCCCCTAAATTACTATGTCTAATTGAAGGGATCCCGTGAATCAATAGCCCCTAAATAAAGGAATTCCACAGATCAAGGGATTATTAATAATCATGAGATCGCCATGAATTATGGGTCAATAATACCAAATAAGGTTGATTATAATAAATATCCCCTATATGATTTTATTTCCTTTAAGAGTGTACTTTCTTATTTTAATTTTACATGGTTCCTCTATAAAATGTCCTATAATTATCATTGTAAGGATAATACACTCAACCATGATATTTCTTATAAAATTTCTTTGCTTTCAAGAGTGATTCTTGCTTGTTTGATTATTCGAGATTGTGCGATGCAATCCTCGGTAATCTTTCAAAATTGGATTGTTTTCGAGTGATTCGAGACAATTCATCGCCTCTCAATCGGTGCTGGACCGCTTGTTGCGTCAACTCCATTCCTTGATTGGTTTAGAGATCTTGTGTTGCGTGCTGCCTAGTTCTCACGTGGTGCTAATCCGACCAACCATGTGGATCGAGAATCTAGATTATGCTTCTTTATTCCTTGTTGGTTTAGAGATTTTGTGTTGCGTGTTGCTAAGTTCTCACGTGGTGTCTATCCGATCAATCTTGTGAATTAAGAAACCAAAGTATCCTTCTATCTATATCCTCTTCATTTCTCTTTCTTCCACCAAATTTCGCATCTTTCTATTACTTTATTTTCCGTGGTTTGCGAGTTTCCGAATCATTTGGTTGCGTTCGCATCATCTGGTATTAGAGCCCGTTTTTATCGGAATTCTTATTCCGGTAGTATTAGTAGTCTTTATTTCATATTGTTAAATTATGTTAAGATCTTTTAAATTTTTGTAAGTAGCATTATCATTGTTGGGCAAAAATATATATATATATATATATTGCAAAAAAAAAAAACTGCAGAAAATTTAAAAAAAAAAAAAAAGCCCTCTTTGAAATATATTGTGATTTTTAGTATTGTATCCATTTGTTTATTTGTGGATATCGGTTTTCTTACGGTTATGCTTTCATTGTTGGTTCGTTACTATTGTTGAGTTTGGCTTCTTGGGGTACACTCATCAATTTATATTGGCTATATTCCGTGAAGTTTAGTTGGCTATAATTCGAGGGGCTTACCAAGGACCGTGAAATTTGAGCGTGTGTGTAAGATGGAGAGGTACATTACGTGGGGTATACACGAGAGGGTGAGGGAATCATTTATCTAACTATATATATATATATATTTCCAGTATATTTTTCTATGGCAGGTGAGAGAAGTGACGAGGAACATGATATGGCATCCGCATCAAGCTTTGACCCGAAAATGTTCGTGAAAGATATGATGGTGGAAGTACAAATGGTACTTCGACATGAGGTTGAGGGACTCCATGCCCGAATAAATAAGTTGGAAACATCGAGGGTAGAAGGGAATGCAGCCCTTTCACGTCCGCACAATGGCATTCCATATTTAGGACAACGACCTCCTGGGAATGCTCCAAGGCATGAACGAGTTTGTGATCTTATCGAAGATGATCGTGACATGAATGAGTATGATGGAGAAGTAGAGAGCAATGTTCCCCTTCGAGCACGACGAGGGGCACATAGGAGAGATAACAATGATCCAATTCGTTCTATGAAATTCCAAATCCCACATTTTTACGGGAAATATGATTCAGAAGCATATCTTGATTGGGAGCGGAAGATTGAGCTGATCTTTGATTGTCAAGATTTGGATGGTCCACAAAAAGTCCGAGTTGCGGTCTCCGAGTTCAAAGATTATGCCATTCATTGGTGGGACAATATTTGCCTCAATCGAAGGCGAGGTGGAGCACCGATGATTCAAACATGGGAGGAGTTGACACATGTCATGCGAGCTAAATTTGTGACGAGTTCGTATACGTAAGAATTGCATGTTTGACTGCAATCGATGAAGCAAGGAAATAGGACAGTCGATGAGTTCTACAAGGATTTGGAGGTGACTTTAATGCGGGCTGATGTTCGAGAGAGTCAACAAGCCACGGTATCGAGGATCTTGACGGGGCTGAATCGAGACATTGTTGACAAAGTGGGATTGTATCGTTTTGATGATATTGATAAATTGGTGGAACATGCTATTACTATTGAGAAGCAATTGAAGCGTAAGGGCAAACAGAAAACATTTGGTACGAAGCCCTTCACACCAAATTATACCAAGAAGGATAACAAAACCCAAGTGGCCCAAGGATTTGGTAAAGGAAAATGTATTATCAAGGATGACACGTCACGGAACAAGCATGTTGGAGCTGATCCGGAGAAGCCGAGGAATTGAGATATCATTTGCTTCAAGTGTCAAGGTCGAGGCCACATTGCAAGTCAATGCTCAAACAAAAAAACGATGATCCTCAATAATTTTGGGGAATACGAAACGGAATCTGAAAATGAGGAGGGGGTTGATCAAAGAGTAGATGAGGAAAATAACACAGATGATGACTCTGATTCTGGTGTTGGTTTTGAGTTTGGTTACCTTACGAGCCTTAAGCACTATGTCAAGGACCTTTGATGATGAACAACGAGAAAATCTCTTTCAAACTCGTTGCATAATTGGAGGCAAAGTGTGTAGCCTCATAATTGATAATGGGAGTTGCACAAATATTGTAAGTGAACTTGTTGTTCGAAAATTGAATTTTCTAACAACACCCCACCCCAAACCATTCAAATTGTAGTGGGTTAGCAATTGCGGAGAGTTGAATGTGAACAAGCAGGTGACGGTTCCTATCAAGATAAAAAATTATGAGGATGAAGTTGTTTGTGATGTGCTACCGATGCAAGCTTGTCACGTATTACTTGGGAGGCCGTGACAGTTTGATAGAAAGGCTCATCATGATGGATATTTGACTAGATACTCATTTGAGTTTGGGAGTAGAAAGATATGTTTGAAGCCGTTGTCTCCAATGGATGTCCATGAGGACCAACTCTACATGCATTGTCAATTTTTGGAAGAAGCCAAAGAAAAGAGAGAAAGGAAAAAGAGTAAAAAAATAAGAGTGAAAAAAGTGAGCATGGGAGTGAGAAAAGTGAGAGCGAAAAAAATAAGAGTGACAAAAGAAAGCAAGTGAGTGAACAACGCAAGAGTGAGCTTGAAAGAAAAATGCTTGTGAGCTTGAGAGAGGCAAAAAATTTGAAAGTTCATGAGGGAAGTTCTTATTTACTTTTGATTAAACCTGTTTATTTGTCTAAGCAAAAGCTAATGGAACTCCCTTCCAATGTTGTTTCTCTTTTGCAGGAATATTAAGATGTGTTTCCCGATGAAGTAACCGGAGGATTACCACCTATTCGGGGCATTGAGCACCAGATGGATCTCATTCCGGGCGCATCAATTCCAAATCGTCCAGCTTACAAAGCAAGTCCAGAGGAAGTCAAGGAAATACGTAAGCAAGTGGATGAGTTGCTTGACAAAGGTTGGATTCACGAAAGCCTAAGCCCTTGTGTTGTACCGGTTTTTCTTGTCCCAAAGAAGGATGGTGGGTGGAGGATGTGCATCGATTTTCAAGCCGTAAATGCCATAACGGTAAAGTATCGACACCCTATCCCTCGTTTAGATGATATGCTAGATGAACTGCATGGGTCAAAATACTTTTCTAAAATTGATTTGAAAAGTGGATATCATCATATTAGAATGAGGGAAGGTGACAATGGAAAACTGCATTTAAAACTACATTCGGCTTATATGAGTGGTTAGTCATGCCTTTTGGTCTTACGAATGCTCTAAGTACGTTTATGCGGTTAATGAATCATGTATTACGTACCTTCATAGGGAAGTTTGTTGTGGTTTACTTTAATGATATTCTCATTAATAGTAAATCAATGGAAGAACATGTAGAGCATATTCGTAGTGATTTGGAAGTGTTAAGAGCTGAAAAGCTTTATGCTAACCCGAAGAAGTGCGACTTTAGTGTCGACAAATGTATTTTTCTTGGTTTTTTTGTAGGTGCTGAAAGCATAAGTGTGGATGAAGCTAAAACATAAGCTATTTGGGATTGGCCAACACCTAAAACGATCAAGGAAGTTCGTAGTTTCCTTGGACTTGCAAGCTTTTACTGCCGCTTTATGCTAGATTTTAGCTCCATTGCAGCACCACTGACTGAGCTTACGAAGAAAGATAAACACTTTGATTGGGGAGTTTCTGAACAAGCATCTTTCGATTTGCTTAAGAGAAAACTTACTAATGCTCTTGTTTTAGCTCTACCGGATTTTACTAAGCCATTTGAATTGGAATGTGATGCCTCAGGAATTGGGATTAGAGCTGTTTTGATGCAAGGAAGGAGGCCGATTGCGTACTTCAGTGAGAAGCTGAGTGGGGGTGCCCTCAACTATTTGACGTATGACCGAGAATTGTATTCGTTGGTTCGTGCACTTCAAACATGGCAGCACTATTTGCGATCACAAGAATTCATTGTTCACACTGACCATGAATCATTAAAGCATTTAAAGAGTCAACAAAAGCTTAGCAAGCGGCATGCAAGATGGGTAGCATTCGTGGACACATTTCCTTACTCGATTCAGTACAAGAAAGGAAAGGAAAATGTTGTAGCTGATGCGCTATCAAGGAGGTACGGGTTGCTAACCTTGTTAGAATCTAAGCTTATGAGATTTGCATTCATAAAAGATATTTATATGAATGATGTTGATTTTTCTGATATCTTTGCAAAATGTGCTACGCATGGCTTTGGTGATTATTATATGCACGATGGATATTTGTTTCGTGTGAATCGTTACCTAGGTGTTCACTTCGTGATGTGTTAGTGGTTGAGGCACATGAGAGAGGTTTAATGGGTCATTTTGGGCTTGATAAGACATTGGGTGCATTGCATGAACACTATTATTGGTTTAAAATGAAGCATGATGTGGAGTCTTATGTGAATAAATGTGTTGTTTGTAAGATTGCAAAGTCACATGCACAACCACACGGTCTATACACACCCTTACCTATTCTAGAAGCACCATGGACTGATATTTCAATGGATTTTGTTATGGGATTGCCTAGGTCTAGGAGAGGAAATGATTCGATTTTTGTCGTGGTTGATAGATTTTCAAAACTGGCACACTTCATTGCATGTAAGAAAACCAATGATGCATCTCATGTTGTAGATCTATTCTTTCATAATGTTTTGAAATTGGATGGTGTCCCTAAGACAATTGTGTTGGACAGGGATACAAAGTTTCTTAGTTACTTTTGGAAGACACTTTGGGCTAAATTGGGAACTAAGTTGCTATTTTATACATCTCATCATCCCCAAATGGATGGTCAAACTGAAACAGTGAATAGAACCTTAGGGAACCTACTTCGTGTCTTGATAAAAAAGAATTGCAAAAGTTGGTAAGAATGTTTGCCTCACGCTGAATTTGCATATAATCGTACGTTGCATTCTTCGACACACATGTCTCCTTTTGAGGTTGTTTATGGCTTTAATCCTCTATCACCTTTGGATATGTTACCATTGCCTAGCAATGAGTATTTTAATAGTGATGGCAGGAAACGGGCTGAATTTGTGAAGGAGATACATTCAAAGGTTCGGGATAACATTGCAAAATCAAACGCTCGGTATGCTAAAAGTGCTAACAAAGGTCGAAAGCATGTAGTGTTCCATCCAGGCGATTGGGTGTGGTTGCACTTGAGAAAAAGTAGATTTCCCAAGAAACGGAAGTCTAAGCTGAGCCCAAGAAGAGACGGGCCATTCCAAGTTGTGGAACGCATCAATGACAATGCATATCGTATTGAGCTACCGGGTGAGTACCAAGTTCATAGCACATTCAACGTTGCTGACTTAAGTCCTTTTGATGTAGGAGATGAACATGCTATGAAAATGGGGGATTCAATTTTTCAAGAAGGGGGGAATGACGAGGTCGTCAAAAGAGACGATGAACATGCACTACCACCAGGTCCGATTACTCAAAACCGTGCCAAGAAGTTTCAAACTAATATTATGGCATTAGTTCTACACTTGGAAGAGGAAAACATGCACAAAGTTGAAGCATGGAGGCCAATGGGAAGAGCGTTGTCAACATTGAAGTGCATCCACCCTTGAAGACTACAATTTATAACACCCATGGAGTTTTTACTCACATCATTACCCATGTGGGATAAGAGGTGTTTTATTTTATTTAATAAAGTGAGCCCCTTTAATCTAATTAATTGGACATCTCTTATTTACTTAATTAGTGGGATATAAATAATATATAATTTTGTCCCACATTGGTTGTAGAGTCCTTTTACCAAGCTAGTCTCCCCTATAAATAAGGCACTTGGCTTTACTTGTTAGACACCTTGAAATTTATATCAATTAAAGTTTTTATCTTTATTCCATTATATTGGAATTAGTGTGTGAGTGAGGTTTACCCTTGCATACGCGTATTCTCAAATCGGGTCCTTGGGTTGATTCCTTGGGTTCGTGGCTTCCGAAACCGACCGGAGTTTCTAGCCAAATTATTCGAGTCTCCATTGGTTTAGAGGTGTTGGGTCTAGGCAACGCTTGGGTTCACATCCGATCGATTGATGAATCGGACAATGGTAATATCTTCCCCTTTTTTACTTAGTTTTTTATTTGAATTTAGTTTCAAGTTTCGATTGGTATAGTTTAGTTACTTGGGCTACGTTACGATCTGTCTTCTCCCCAATCTGCCTTTTCCCGAGACAGCTTCTTCTTTAAAAACATTTATATTCGGACTTTTGAAAGCCCATTAAACTTGAATAAATCTTAACCTAATTGTTACGTACGAAATTTAGATTTAGGTTAAAAGCCCAAGGTAAAAAGAAGAATGGGCCTGGCAATAGAGTTGATTGAACTGGCTGAAGGACACCGTGAGGAAATCAAGGAAAATAGGTTTATTTCTAAGGAAAGTCCTCAGGACGGAAGGACCTCAGGTCGGTAGGTCCTCAAGACGGAAAGTCATCAGGACGGAAAGACCTCAAGTCGGAAGGTTTTCGGGTCGGTAGGTCCTCAAGACGGAAAGACCTCAAGTCGGAAGGTTTTCAGGTCGGGAGGTCCTCAAGACAGAAAGTCATCAGGACGGAAGGACCTCAGGTCGGCAGGTCCTCAAGACGGAAAGACCTCAAGTCAGAAGGTTTTCAGGTCGGGAGGTCCTCAAGACAGAAAGTCATCAGGACGGAAGGACCTCAGGTCGGTAGGTCCTCAAGACGGAAAGACCTCAAGTCGGAAGGGTTTCAGGTCGGGAGGTCCTCAAGACGGAAAGTCATCAGGATGGAAGGACCTCAGGTCGGTAGGTCCTCAAGACGGAAAATCATCAGGACGGGAAGTCCGCAGGTCGGGAGGCCCTCAGGACGGGAAGTCCGCAGGTCGGGTGGCCTTCAGGACGGGAAGTCCGCAAGTCGGGAGGTCCTCAGGTCGGGAAGTTCTCAGGTCGGAATTCTGCGGCAGAACCAACAAATCGGGTGGTTTGTTAGTCGGGATGTCTGTAGCTAATCCAAACAAGTCAGATGGTTTGCAAGTCGGGAGGATTGGCAGTCGGACCCATACTATTGTAGTTTGGCAGTCGGGCCTAAAGGGCGGAAGGTCTGTGGCCAGCTCAAAGAGTGGAATATAGGGATAATTTTGGTCTGCTGAGGACACGTGTCAGCAGGAGAAGGATTGAAAGACGGTTGGGAAGGAGACGTTGTAACCGTTCGGGTGACGGTTTTCAGTACGGTTTCCCAGAGAATATTTAAAGGTTTGGATAATCATTTGGCAGGGTATCTTCAATCAACTTCAACAAAGCAAAGTCAGATTTGGGGATCACCACTTTAAATTTCAGTCTTTTATTTTCCAGTTTATTTTCTGTACCATACAGTGTTTAGAGATTCCTAATCTCAGGCACTAATTAATCAAGTTTAAGGATATTTTCTATATCTTTGAATTTTACTTTATTTTTGTTGAAAAATTACATCAACACTAATGTAGTAGGGCCATTCTCGAAAACCCTCCTTACCATTTTTTTATGCTCAACAATAGTTAATTTTTTTAATTAGAAGTATTAATTATTAATTATTACTATAATAGAAAAATAGACTAATTTCGTGGGACGGCTAAAAAAAAGTGAACTAATTTCGTGGATGGAAATATCATGTAATTGTGATGCACACCCACAAAAATATTTCATAAATACAGTATTATTATTATTATATTTTGTATACGAAATATTCTGTTAAGGAAGATAAGTAAATGAATAATATTCCAAATATTACAACGCGGTTTAAAGACAAGCTGTCATTCTTGAACCACTATTAATACGCTAATTCGCGTATATCCATCAATCCTCACCGCTAAATTCCACGAGCTCCATGGACCCAAACGCCATATACATCTACACCGTCAAACAAATCACAATCAACGGTGAATATGCATCCGGCGCCGAGATCCAGAATCAATCAACACCATTAATTTTTTTGACTTGGCTTTTACACAAACGATCCATTTGGAAGAGAAAATTCGAACCTTTTTCCATTGTCGATACGACAATCGAAGAATAGTCATTAGTCAGACATCCATTTACCTATTAAAATTGAATGATTTAATAGATATTTATAATTAATGGTATAATATTTTTTTGTATTTTATCATAAATATTTAACATATTTTGGGTGTGTTTGTTTTGTGTTTTGATTTGAAATAAATTTTTTTACATAAAGTATATAAAATTGTGTAGTTAATATGAAAAATAATTAATATGTAATATATTAATTTTTTTAAATAAATTATTTTTATTTACTGTATAATTTTATTTTATTTTTATAAATTAAAATATGCACAAGATATTATTTCATCTAAAATTTAATGTTTGATTGTAAAATTTTCAAATGTGTATTTAGACCAATATTTATTCTAGATAAAAAAATATATATATATATTTGAATAATATAATTTAATTAAATCGTGAAATAATTCTTGCAATAAATGAAATAAAAAACTATATATTTTATGTATTTATAATAATATCATTTACCTAAAAAAAAAAGGGAAAATAGTATTAACGCAGCCTACCACACCCCACCCCACCCCACCCCACCCCACCGCCGGTTTCGCCCACGAACCTGCCGGCATTTCGGTTGTCTTTAGTCACGCCTTTTTCTCCTCGTTTTATTTTTTTTGCCCATTTTTCTCTCTCTTGAGTTTCTCTCTCTCTCTCCCTCGGAAAACTTTTTGGTGGGCTGTTCTTGTTCGTCGGATTTTTTGAGGTAGTTTGTTGTTGTCGTGTATTTTTGGGGCTAATTTTGTTGTGGTTTTTGGGATTTATTTGATTGATTGAGTTGGAATTTGCAGTTATCTTTAGGGATTTTGAAATTTTATGGAGTGCATTGAGGCTAGGGCTTTGAAATCCAGCTTTCTGTTGAAGGCGGATTCCCAGGCGTTGTACAACGATGACGTTTGGTGTCTCGCCGGAATTAATGGCGCCGCCGCGGCCACGACGGAGGATTTTCCTGTTGACGATCTCCTTAACCTCGATTTGCCGGAAATGGAGTTTCAGGAGTCTGGTTTTTTGCAGAAGCTTGACGGTTCTGATAACGGAAGTTTGAGGTTGCCTTCGTCGTCATCTTCTTCTTCCTCGTCGTCGCTTTCCGGCGCCGACGACGTCAACGGTTTCTCCGCCGGTGAATTCGACGTTCCGGTGGGTCTTTGCTTATTTGTCGATTTTGTTTGAACTTTTTTCCAACTGTGATTAATTTTTGGGGGAATTTTCGATTGAAGGTTGAGGATTTGGAGAATTTGGAATGGTTGTCTCAATTCGTCGACGATTCTTCGTCGGAGCTCTCGTTGTTGTTCCCCGCCGGGAATTTCTCTGCTGAAACTCCGGCAACTGCGGCGAACCGGATCGAACCGGTCTTGGAAATCGAAGCTCCAGTATTTCCTTTCGCCTTCCCGAGGAGGTCCAGGACCGGGCGCACCCGGCCCAACAGTCGGCTATGGTCCTTGTTGTCTCCGCTGTTGAGCGCCGCCGACTCGTCCTCGACGACGTCGTCTTCCTCAACTTTATCTCCGTTCACATTCCTGAACCCGGCCGGAGACCGGTTCGAGAAGCGACCGGTTAAGAGGCAGAAGAGAAGCACGGAGGCGGAAACCGGTCGGAGATGCACGCATTGCCAAGTCCAGAAGACGCCCCAGTGGCGAACCGGACCGCTCGGTCCGAAGACCCTCTGCAACGCCTGTGGAGTCCGGTTCAAGTCCGGTCGGCTTTTCCCTGAATACAGACCGGCCTGTAGCCCGACTTTCTCTCTGGAAGTGCATTCTAATAGCCACCGGAAAGTTCTGGAGATGCGGCGGAGGAAGGAAGTCACAGTGCCGGAGGCGGCGGCGGCGGCGGCGGCGGAGTTTATCCCGGTGGCGGTTCGAAGCCAAAGTGTTTGATGTTATAGGGTAGTGATGATTTGGACCGGTTTCTTCGAACCGGGTTCGAGTTTAGGTTAGGCGGGTCACATATAACATAAGTATTTAATTAGGGAGGGAGTTACGAATAGTGGTTTTGAATTAGCTGTGATAATTCATTTATTTGCAGTTATTTTTTTCCTAATATTAGCAAATTCCAAATACTAATTACTATCTTAATTACATATATTTTATTTTTTTCAAAAACAAAAATAATGAAAATTTTAGTACGAGGGGTAGAATGGTCATTGTGGTGGTGGAGTGAATTTGAAGGCAGCGAAGCGGTTGGCAGTAGCCGTTGAAGAAAAGACGCGGCGGAATCCGTGAGGGGACCGGGCTTTGTCTGACGAAATGACGATTCTACCCTTTCATAAGCGAAATGACGACTTAGCCTTGAATAGAATTATTGAAGAGTGGGAAGTAGTCCCCACTTAGTTGCACGCACGTCATTGGTTGGGTGTTGTGTGGTGTACGACACTTCCCACTTTCCCCACTCTTATTATTTCTTTAAAGAAATAACACGTTTTTAGTCTTTTCTAAAGGTGTGTTTATTTGGATTGTTGGATTTTAAATCCATTTACAGGTTTCATTTATTTTTAGCATAGTATTTAAAAAATGATAATATTTTAATTATAGTGAGTAGTTAAAATTAGTGTAATATTATTTTTGCTTTTATTTTTTTTGTGTAAAAGTAATGATGTGATGTAAAATAAGAGTATTTGTGGAAAAAAGTAGGGTATTTAATGAAATATAGACTTTGTAATTGGACATCCCAAAATAGAAACATGTAAACTTTGTAAGCGGACAAAGGGAGTATATTATTTATTTATTTTTTTCAAAAATATCAAATTAAATATTTATTTTTTATTTTTATATTATTAAAAATTAATTTTATATTTAAAACATTCACATCAATACCTATTTATATCACATTATACAATTATTTAAATTTAAAATTTTTACTATTCAAATTCCAACTTAAAATCTAAACTCCCAAATAAACACACCGAAAAAAAAAAAAAAAAAAAAGGAAAAGTTTATTTTGTTTTTCCTTTAAAATATCTCATAAGTATTTTCTTTGTATTTGGCATAATTTTTTTAATTTTAAAAGTAAAATGTAATTTGATGTAATATTTAAAACACAAATAAATATTTTATATGATATATATATATTTCTTTTAAAGAAAACAATAAATTGAATAATAAAAAAATAGATGACAAATATTTACTGTGGTTTATGATTAAATAGATGTTGAAAATTGCAACTATTGTGCTTTCTTTAATAGCTATTAACTCATTATTATTGTTTTAAATTTTAGTGTTGTAATATTTTCAATTAAATAAAAAATTATACTCATGTAAATACTTACACATTAGGCAAACAAAATACTTTCTAAAAATAAAACAATAATTGGAATATAATTTTTTATTTATTTATTTTTATGCTGTTTTTCCTCATTTCCTATTTTAATTTTTAAAAAATACTCCATCCGTCCACAAACTAATGTTCTACTTTCTTTGGGACGTTCGACCGTTGTTCTATTTCCTTTTTCTAAACACAAATTTTACATTTTTACCCTCCATTCATTTATTACTTTTAATCTCTATCATACAATTAAGGACAAATTTGTCAATTCGTAACAAAAAGATAATTATCTAAAAATCGTGCAAATATAGTTTAGGATAATAGAAATTGGATGGAGGGAGTATTATAATTTATTTATTCTAAAAGATATGTACAATTAAAAAAAAATATATAAAGTAAATAATATTTTATTGACGATGTAAGCTTTTAAATTTTGAAATTCACATTACATGTTTTTTCTTTAATCCGCAGTTCTATTTTTCTTTTTTTTTCCCCCTCATTTTATAAAGTCAGAGCTTTATTTATTTAGTAGTATAACTTTACCTTATTAAACACTCTACTACATTATGCCACAATCATTTAGTATGATAATTAAGAAAATTTGAAAAATTTGTATTTAAAATTAATTATTTTAAACTTAGTTAATATGACAATGGTAATAGAATGATATATTTTTATATATATAATATTTTATAATAAAATAGATATAAATTAATTTTAACACAAGTTATTGGTGTAAATATTTGTAACAATACTAAAAATTATAAAATATAAATATTAATTTGAATGATTTGTAGTAAATTATTATTGTAATTATTTAAAATATAAATTAAAATGTTATATTTGATTAGATTTTTTCTAAAATTTTCACTATTCACTCATTTTTCAGTTTTAGAGCATCAAATTAAATTTCTATTTTTTTATGTTTATATTATAAAATTAGTTATATTCAATATTTATATATATTATATCAAATAATTATTCAAATAAAAAAATTATTATTATTCAAAATTCAAATTCTCAACCAAACGTGCCTTTAGTGTTTAATATTATAATTATTTTATTTTACTTTTATTTTTTTAAAAAAATTAGCTTGGTCCGGCCCCACTTGAATATTATTTTTTGTATTATACTTGAGTCATATTTTCGTATCATACTCATTTTTGTTTATCATCATTAAACGTAGCTAAAATATGAACGATTTGGTACGACACACTAAAATGTCAAGTCATCGTATACTGTTATGAAACTTTCGTTATGTTAAAAAACATATCAATATCATACCGAAAAATCAATATATTAAAAATTCGGTAACAACTATATATACCATACCGTATTGATAATTCGGTATACTGAAAGCATCGGTTTATAATGTTTCATACTAAAATATCAAATTAGAAATAATTTTATAATAAAAAAAGAATTATATCAATATTTCGAATTATCGATATTTACTTATATATTGAATACTGTATCGAAAAATTTCGGTACAACATCATACATGACTGAACTTCTTACTATAGAGAAAGTTTGAAATTTTTGGAATTTTTTGATATGATATGCATGATATTTTGGTAATTTGATATTTTTTTTTTACCTCTAATTAAATTGTTGAAATAATTATGAGTAAAAAAATGAGAATGTGTTCACCTAAAAAATTTTCAATTCGTTTCAAAATTAATATTATAAAAAAAAAAAGTTATAACACACCTAATACATAATATCTATTTTATGCACCAATAAAAAATTAATAATTCAATACATAATATTATTATATATTTTATTGATATATTTTCACATGTCTAATATAAAAATACTTCAAATTAAATAAATAAATACATACATACATACTAAATAGATTAATTTTAATTAGTTAAAATTTAATTGTTATTAAAATTGTTAATTTTTTCCTTTTATAAAAAATAGTATAACTAGATGGAATAGCTAAAAAAAAAATTGATATAATTTGGTGGGATAAATGAAATGTATATACTAGATTTGTTATTGACTTATCAAATTTATTATTAATAATAATAAATTATACAATTGGGTGGATTTTAGGGTCATTTGGATTGACTTTTGTCATTAATTTTTGGACTTTTGTCATTAACTTTTGGCTTATACTTCTAAAAAGATATTTTGTAAATATTTTCATTGACTTATATTTAAAAACAGAAGCGGCTTTTAAGGATGAAAAATATATTTTTTTTTCAAAAACACATTAGGGTAGTTTATGAAATGAACAAAAGCATTTTCCAAACGAACCTTCTTCTCTTCAAACAATCTCCCAATCAAGATTCACCTGTTTTCTCGCAAGCTCTGCAAATAATACCATGGAAATTACTCCTATTGTGGTTGTTAATTTGTTGCATTGAGAAGTTCAACAAAAAAAAATAAAAAATAAAAATAAAAATCCAAAAATAGATTTTGAATTTGATAAGTTGTGTCTGAGATTATGTAAGTCCCTAAGCATCATATTAGATAATACCAAAGGCACGTAAAGAAAAGAAAATGAAGAAATAAAGCAGAGAATTTTAAAAGTTCTGTTTTTAGATGGTTGAGTGTTTTTCGAAATTGGTTGACTTAATAATGACGTCGTCGATATATACCTGCATAGAACTACCTATTAGATCATGAAAAGTTGCATTCATAGCCCTTTGATAGGTTGTTCCCGCATTTTTCAAATCAAATGGCATGACTGTTCCTTCATAGATTCCAAGAGCTCCGGGGCATCTAAAAGTTGTCTTGTGGATGTCTTCTTCGGTCAGAAAAAATTTATTATATCTTGCGTATCCATCCATCAGACTTAGAGTCTGATGCCCTGTTGACAAATCAATGAACATATTGGCTACTAACATGACATACTCATCCTCAGGAATGGCCAAATTCAGATTCCTAAAATCGATGCAAATTCTTATCTTGCCATTTCTCTTGGTCACTGGAACTATATTAGCTAACCACTTCGCATATCTAGATAGCCGAATGAATCCGACCTTTAGAATCTTCTTGATTTCTTCCTTAATTTATGGCATCAGTTCTGGTGAGATGCGTCGAGGGGCCTATTTACAAGGCTTAAAATCTATTCTGATAGGGAGCCGATGCTCGATCAAACTTCGATCCAATTCCGGAATCTCCGAATAATCCCAAGCCAAGCACTTAACATGCTTTCGAATTAAATCAACAAGAACCTCTTGTTGATTATGTGATAAAAGACCACTGACACGAATTATTCGTGAGACTTTTTTTTTCCAACATTAAATTCTTCCAACGGATCCTGAACTGATAAAGATGATTCTGTATTTTCCAAAAGATCCAGTCATTCAAAGTGGTTGTTTTGGTTTGAATATTAAACACCGTCGCCGAATTTCTTAATCTAAACATTAATTTTTTAAAGAAAAGATTGCAAATACCTTCATATTCCATAGTTCCCGAACAATTCATCATGTCTGTGAGAAGAAAAAACATTTTTCGCTTCTGTTTAGCCATTGATAAGTTGTTCCCTTTAAGAGAACATATACCCCTAACTGGTAAGCCTAAAGCTCTTCCATGGGTAATCATTTGTGGAGGTTGCTTGAGAAATCGGTGGAAAATTCCCTATGTAGAAAGCATCATCTTCTACAATATTTGTGGAACGGAAATGACTTTTGCTAGCTTCCACGGTGAGGACCTGAGTTCCCTCCTAAAACATCAATTGCTGATGAAGCGAAGACGGTACACATTGAGACCCATGAATCCAGTCCCTCCCCAGCAGAACGGAATATATAGTGTCCGCTTCAACCACAAAAAAACATAGTAGAA